AAGTGCAGGACTGAAACGAAAGATAATGAAAACAGCCTATGACGATCGTTCAGAGAAATCCGTCTTCACTTTCCGGGACTTTGTTTTCCCAAGAAAGAAGCAAAGGAACTTGATTATCGCTACATTTTACGGACATTTTGAAACATTTTTTAACATTCCATCATGCAACATTTTTAGTCCCCGTTCGGACGCAGTCCGAAAACTGGGACTTATGTTTTGCCCTGTGTGCGTCCGTCCGTCCGTGCGTCCGTGATCACCTGTATCTCGAACATGCACATTTTCACCATTCCGGACCCGGATCTCAGTTATGCATGGACGGATTTCATTCAAATTTGGTACATACATTAAACATAATAGGACCTTGATGCACGTCATTTTTTTTTTCGGATCAAGTTCGAAATGGCCGACTGGCGGCCATTTTGTTTTAAAGAATTCAGTTCTGGATCCGTATCCAAGACATGTCTGGATTGATCAAGTTCAAACTTCACACACACATGGTACATCATGTCACAAATAGATATGTGCATTTGTTTCATGATCTGCTTAACAATAGTGGAATGATGGCCATTTTAAGGCCGAAAATGCATCAAAATCACGTATTTTCACAATTCCAGAACCGGATCTCAGTCATGCATGGATGGATTTTGTTCAGATTTAGCAGAATGTGTTGTACATATGCAGGTGCATTTCGGTCATGATCTGCTTTGAATGTATATGTCACTCAAATATGAACGGAATGGGTACGTGTCATTGACAATGACTTGTTATTACAATGTATTACTGATTAAATAAAAATGTTTTTATTGACATACTCTACATGTACTATTGTTTGATTTCATTACAGTCATGTGCGTTAGAATTTGTGTGTACGTGAGCCTGTAAATTTGAGCACGCCCACACAAGATCGCATATCCGAACTGTTTGCATAACCGAACATAACCCCCTAACAGTCCAGATAATCGACGTTCTACTGTACATATATAGGTACTACATGTGGACCTTTTTCAGATTTGTTAGTTTCGTGGTGATATCTTCAATTATTTAATTTTGATGATTATTTTTGGTGAAAAGTGATATTTTTGAATTCTTGTTGAAAACAGCAAGTCCCATTGCTTTGTTACTATACATATTGTTCATTTTCTAATGATATCTTCTGTTCTCTAATTGAAATGTGCATTGCTAACAGCGGAGCTATCTCATCCGACTGGCTGCTTGTTTTTTTCATTGAGTTTTCTGAGGTACTCCTGTGACCGTTGGTAACAGTAAGACGTGGTGTCTGGTAGAATAGAATTTTTAGTACCTGTTCGAACACAGTCCGAAATGTTTTTACCCTTGTGTGTCTGTTCATGCGTGCGTCCGGATTTGTATCGTGGACATGCCTGGACCAATGACAATCAAACTTCACACATACATCATACATAATATTATACATATGCAAATCAATTTGTTTAATGATCTGATTCAAGATGGCCGAATGGCGGCCATTTTTGTACTGAAAAATCATCAAAATCAAGCATTTCTCGGCTGTTTACTGATGGATTTTGTTTAAACTTAGTATATACATTAGACATTATGGGACCTTGATGCAAATCATTTTGTTTTTCAGATAACATTCAAAATGGCTGAATGGTGGCCATTTTGTTTTAATGAATGGGCTTCTAGAGCCATATCTCTGACTTGCTTTGACTGATTATGTTCAAATTTTTAATAATCATTATACATCATGTTATAAATATATACATGAATTCAAAATGGCTGATTTTGTTTTAATTAATGCTGTTCTAGAGCAATATCTCTCAATATGGACAAGTACTTGTTTTGTCGATCAGATACAAATGTCAATCATTTTAGTGTTAAACGATCATCATAATCATATTCCTGACATGGGTATATTTCAGCCAAATTACTATTAACAAAACTATATATCTTAAACTCAATAACTAACTGGGACTGTGCCATGCATGGCTTGTTCTTATTACGGGCCCGTGTCCTTAGGTTGCCTCCCCTAAATCGACTCGGTCGTGCAGGAATTGCCGTCAGGACCTCCCTGGTTGGAACCCCATAGCAAATTTTTCTGCTATTTCTTTTCTCAAGTCATTAATACATTCTATGTGTTACAGTTGTTATCCTGTTGGTATTACATGGTCACTGTTCCTTTTATGAGTTGTGAATATTCATTGCTGTAATATCCCTTATCAGTTTGTATCATCATATCCTATATATTTTTGGAACAGCATTGACTATACTTTTAACTCAAAATGTTCTTGGTTGGATAAGATTTCTATTAGTTTTGCTCTGTTCTGTTCTTTTATAGGTTTTTATTGAAGGATGGTCAGCTTTGGTTGTGTGCACCACAGGCTAAACAGGTAGGAAAGAGAGATCAGGTTTCTGATTTCATATTACTATTATTTCCACCAAAATTGGAGACTAAGTCTGAATAGATCACACAACTCTGTGCTGCTAAATGCAATGCTTAATTGAGCCCCCGTTACTGAATACAGTTCATGACTTGGACACATGGATTTGGTTCTGTTTGTTCGTTCGTGTAACATCAGAAACGCATCAGAAATGGACTGAAAATATTTTGTTTTGCCTGTTTTTGACAATTCATTGCTCAATATCATTCGAACTTCACATATAGGTTATACACAATACATTTACATATATTGACAAACAAAATTTTACAACCAAAGTGTAGTAAGCATGTATTTTATGTTAAGAATAGAGTGGAAATGATGTTTTTCAATGTTTAAGCTTTTCATTGAACAATTCATTATGAGACGCACTTTGAAGGGACATATTTTAGTGGTACAAGTGGTTATCAGGGATATTTTTGGCTAAGAAATGGGTATTTCCTGTAAAAATATTTTTGACTCCTGTGTGTGAAGCACAAAAACGGAGTTAGTGTGTCTGTCTGTGTGTCTGTTCCACTGATATCTAAAGAACCACTCATTGGATTTTCATGAAACTTGGCACATAGATGCTCTGAACTAATGTGCAGATTTGATAAGTTTTGGGTAAAAATCTGCAATATTAATTACCTAATTTGCATAATGATTAATCAATTTTTGGCTTTTCCGCTGATATCTCAAGTACTGATCATCACATTTCAATAAAACTTGGTACATCGATATCATAGAACACTGCACAGACCTGATAGTTTTTAGGGTAATATCAGTACATATTAATTACCTAATTTGCATAATTAATTAATTTTTAGCTTTTGATATTTCAAGTAGTAATCATCACATTTCAATAAAACTTGGTACATAGACATCATAGAACACTGCACAGACCTGTTAGTTTTTAGTGTGATATCAGTACATATTAATTACCTAATTTGCATAATTAATTAATTTTCAGCTTTTGATATTTCAAGTAGTAATCATATTTCAATGAAACTTGGTACATAAATATTACATTACGCAGGCCTTATTAGTTTTACACTCAAATCTGTTCATATCAGTTACCTGATTTACATAATTAGTTTTCAGCTATTCCATCAATATCTCAAGTACAAGTAATTTTGAATTAATTTTTAATGTGTCTTCAATACTTTCAGCACACAGGGGTTCTTTCTAAGCTTTCTTTGATTTCATTGTTTAAGCTTTGCATTGAACAACTTCATTCAAACTTGGAATATATACTCAGTATTATGAGACACAGCTTCAAGGGACATAGTTTTGCGGTTCAAGTACATTTTCAGGGGTATTGTTCAGACCATATTGTAAACCAAATTGTTCAGGGAGTATGAAATGTTACATCTTGTTTTCTGCACCATGATTTAATTTTTTAGCTCCGCTGTCGAGTTTGTCAAGCCATTTTTGGTAAAAAGTGATATTTTAGAATATTTGTTGAAAACAGCAACTAGGATTGCTTTGATACTATACATATTGTTCATTTTCTTCAGTTCTTTAATTGAAATGTACAGAGCTATCTCAGCCGACATGCTTCTTGTTTCTATTTCTTGCTATAAATAATTTCCAGAGATGCCACTGGATTACTAGCAGTGCAAATGCAATTTTTATGTACATAGTATATACTGTGTTGAAAGACTAACTCTCTTCTGTGTGAATACTTTGTGTTCACAGATGTCTGATTCTTTTTAGATATGTTAGAGATAATTTGCTTTATATATTAATTTTCTAGATATGGAATTGTTTAGCAGAAAATTCAATATATGTAAATGATAGAGAAGCGTGCTTCAAATGGTTTTCAAAGGTGACTTTTTAATATTATACTATTGATAGTGTCCACACTTATTTAACCTTCTACATACATTCTGCCAAACAGGGGACTAAACTCAAGATATAGTGATAAGACAAATTTGGTGAAATTCAATCTAGTGTTGTGGAACACAATGTCAGGTTGCTGGTGTTTTTGTTTTGTTTACACTTTCCACATCATAGCTTTGACATTTAAATACTAGAAGCCATTTTTCGCATAAGGACTTTTCGGCTGTTTAATGATCAATAGCCAACAAAAATTAATATTATTATTGTTTGTTGAGCTTGTTAATGTGTCCATTTCTATACCGTTAACACATATTGTGTCATGATAAAAAATCTTCGGGGCTCATTAAATAGTGCAGGGTTTTTCTTTGCAGTTAATGGGTGATGAACCTGATCTAGACCCAGATATCAACAAAGATTTCTTTGAAACTATTATCTTGCAATTAGATCCATGTCTTCTAACTGAGAATGGTATAAAGTAAGTATTCATATCTCCCTGCTATTTATCGGAAAAGGCTAGGATTAATTTGTTCCTCCGTGATAAATTTGGCCGTTCAAGTTAGGTCCCGTTTTTTGGAAAATCTAAACTAGAGATTGTGATATTAGCCTAATAGTGTGTTCCACTCAATTAAAACAAATTTGTTGTGAAATCAGTAGTGTTGCCTGACTTCTAGTTGAAGCATTATTGCATCATTAATGTTATTGTTTTATTACCAAGGTGTTTTGATAGGTTTTTTAAAGCTGTCAATTCCAAGGAAGGTAAACTCATAGCAAAAAGAAGATCATTCATGATGGATGATTTAGAATTAATTGGTTTAGATTATCTATGGAGAGTAATATTGTATGCATCAGATGACATTGCTTCTAGAGCAATTGAGCTCTTGAAAGAAACTTATACCAACTTGGGACCACGTCTACAAGCAATCAGTTTGTAATGTTTAAGTCATTCAATATTCTTCACCTTGCCTACATCATCATAGATGACAATATTTGATGTCTTCAATGTTGACTCCAGTATAAATTTGTT